ACACACACACACACACACACACACACACACACACACACACACACACACACACACACCTGCATGCTTTCCAAGATGGAAAGACATCAGCAATGACCTCAAAGAAGCAACTGATTTTTCACAAGAACATTTGAGTTCATTAAAATTCACCTCAAGATCAGACTGTGCAACACTCAGAAAAAAACAACAACAGCAAGCCGTCTAGGCTTCAGTTAGGWTGAATGTTGCGTTTCATTGTTATAATTCCTTTATTTAACCAGGAAAGTCCCACTGAGATTAAAACCCTCATTTTCAAGGGAGTCCTGGCCAAGAGGCAGTAAAAGCCATACAACATTTACACATAGTTACACAATTAAAATGCCACACAGACAATTATTAAAAACATTCACAAATCAAAACACCCTCAATCTGGACTTAAAGAGCTCAATGGTATCAGTTCAGTAACCAGGGTTCCTGCAGATCCTTAAAAAGTCTTAAAAGTCATTGAATTCATCAATCCAAAAATGAGGCCTTAATTAGCCTTAAAATGTCTTCAATCAGTCTTTCAGCAGTCTTAAACATGTTAACACATTGTACATAAGATGATCGTAATTCATTTCCAATATTAAAATAATTGGTAAATTATTTTTTTTTAAATTCACATGCAGACATTCCCCTTTGACATCACTTCCTGTTATTTCACATGCAAATCTCTCAACAACTGTCTGTCTGAGCAATGTGAAATTTGTTTATGTTAATAATGTTGTCTTTCCAAAAATGCGATGTCACAGGCACTTTAAGTTTTCATCTACAGCAAACTGCGKTTAAGACCCCACTGTGGGTCCTGAAACTCCATGTTGGGTTGTTGGAGGATTTCCAGAAACTTAATTAAGTTTAAAACTGACTCCTAAGAATGTTTCTGCTATAGTTAGACATGAATAAAAACAACCGGTCTATTAGCAATATTTTAATACTTTATTAAACAAAAAATACTTTGGTTTATGAGTTTCTGCCAGTTTTTATTATTTTGTCATTTGTGTTTATTATGAAATTGGTCTTAAAACTAATTTCACTTGGTGTTAAAAAGTCTTATAWGGTCTTAAATTTAACTTACCTTAAACTGTAGGAACYCTGGTAACTTCCAGTTTTTCTGCAACATGTTCCATGCAGTCGGAGCAGAGTGAACAAAGGCCCTTTTTCCCAGTTCTGTGTGGGGAAATGAGAGCAAGCAATGATCTTTTTAAAGCAAAGAGTGAGAATCAACACTTCACTGTGATTCGATCACAGATGTAAGAAGGCAACAAACCAAAGCATGGCTTTAGAAATAAAAGTACCAATGTCCCAGGGACAAAGACCATCCCACTCRTGTGTACAGATCACAGTGATGGGCCGAGGCTTTACGGTTCCCAACAAACCTCAGAGAAGCAGGATAGACTGCATCAATTTTCTTAAAGAAGTTGTGCTGAGACGTTCATATAACAGGTCTCATCATCTAAATTAAAATGTTGCTGTGACAAGCTGCTTTTAAGCTTAAAGGAAAACATTATTTTATTCAGAATAAAAGAAGCCCAGTTTGTGTTTGAATATGGGGGCTTAAATCTGAGAGTGTCATCAAGCAAGAACCCAAGATATTTGTTTGTGTGAACCTGTGTGTGGACACAGTGGGGATCATCTGGTGTTTGCAAATAACATTAATCTGCAGTTCATGACAAGACAGTTAGAAAACACCTCAATAAGTTTGGCTTATTTGGCAACAGAAAGTGTTTTTAAAAACAACATGGCAGCACAAAGTTTGCAAACTGATGAATTTCAAGACTTCTGGATGAATTTCTTTCAGACAGATGGGTCTGAAGTGGAAATGTAACCATTAATGCACAGCAGCACATCTGGAGAAAACTCAAACCCAACATCTCTGCGCAAACACCAGCTGTAAAGCACGGTGGTGGAAGGACAATGATCCAGGCTCGTGCTGCAGCACAGGCCCTGGRCACATCAGTCAGTGAGTCGACCATGAACCAAAGGATTCTGGCATCAAAYGTGAAGCAAACTGCTCGACAGGTGAAACTTGATCCCAAACACAGCTGATCTATAACAGAATGGGTTAAACATTAAAGACACGAGGTGCTGCAACAGTACAGTGTGAGTCAGAACCTCAATCGGATCAAAATGCTGTGGTGTGAACATATACATGTCTGCAAACCTCAATGAACTGAAACATTGTAAAGAAGAGAGGGCCAAAATCCCCCCACAACCATGTGAGACTAATTTCAGTTTAGTTCAGTTCGTATTCATGTAGGATGCTGTGGATCACTGATTGGAACAGGCTCAGTCAATCTATTGTTAGCTTACAATAAAGTTTTGATGTATATTCATTTCTGTTAGTTGAAGGAGAGCAAAATGATGGAAAAAAAGTGATGTGGGGGCCATWATACTCAGACCATGACACAGCTCTTATTATCTTCTTTTGAAGGCTTTCAAGCTTCTTTAGATAACTAGTGTAAGTGTTGCACCATWTAACAATACAATAATTAATGTGCAGTTCAATGAGAGTTTTATTCAGTGTTGAGTGTGGATAGAGGCAGACAATAGTTTAAAAAACAGACCAACACACTTTGGCAACATTGTTTGAAGATACTCCATGTGAGGTTTGAAATTTAAGGACTCATCTTTGAGGACCCCCAGGAACTTTTAGAATTTACTCTCATTAATACCTCATTTTCAATTTTGAGATTTATGTGATCAATGAATGTACAGATCTATTAGGTCTGAACAGAATGAAATTAGTCTCGTAGCTTGTTACACTTGAACCATTTCATTTAATTCTGCGTTAATTTTTTCCTCCAGTTCAGATAAAATTCTACGTGTAAAAGCAGGTTTGCATCGTCAGCGAAAATAACCTTTTTAAATATTTTAGAAGAGTTTACAAAGTCATTAATATAAATGATGAAAAGTAATGGTCCTAAGATTGAACCCTGGGGGACCCCGTGTTAATAAAGTCCAATAAAGTCTAAAGAGAATGAAACTTCTCATGTGGACTTTTTATTTTTTWATTTTTATTATAAAAAGACGTTTCTTTTTTAAAGCCTAAAGAAAAAATAACTTAAACCAAAAGTATTTGTTTTACAAAAATGCTTAATATTTTGTTACAGAGTTGTACAGTGAGCAGACACGTTTTCACGTTTTATTAAATATAAAAATGATTCTGTTTATGCTGTAAATTTGAAGGTTGCAGGGTCACGTTTGGTGAGTTTGTCTCTCAGGTTTAGAGACGAGCGGCGGGCCGATCAGGCCTCTGATCAGTTGTGTTCATAAGGACCGGCGTCGCTCCTCTTCCTCTCCGTCTTGGTGACGTTCCTTCCTCTTCCAGCGGCAGATTTGATGTCCCATTAAAGAGGCCTCGCAGACATCAGACCAGTCACTCAGAAACAGAAAGTGGGACTCGGGGGACACGCAGGATGTTCATCATTAGAATTTGGTGCCATTCACTCAAACCGGTGCGTTGGAAAATATATATATATTAAAGAGAAAAAAACAACTTTAGAAATCTTTGGGCGGAGAAACAGAACAGGAAAGGCTCAAAGGGAAGGGTGGGGGCATGGAGATGAGGTGGGGGGGTGCACTTACAGATATTTAAAGGMGAGGGAGATGGGCTTTGATAAAGATGCGATTCCCTTGGGTTCCTCTTCTTGAGTGGAAGGGATCTGATAAGCACGGCGCTCCTGTTCCAGCAGCACCTCCTTTTGCTGGGGGCGGGGGAGAAAGGATRGCGTGTAATTATCCTGCGAGGGCTTTCAGGGCCCTGACATACCTGTCACCTGGGAAAGGAGCGTGATGAGAAGACTTCTGCATACCTTTTAGTTCTCACTTCAGAATCTGGAAACTTGTCCTTTCTCGTTTGTTTCCAACGGTTGTGTTTTTCCTTTTGTTTTTCTTTTTTCATTTTTTTAATGCCTCCTCCTCCTCCCGCTCACCTGAAGATGCTCGTTTGAGAAGTTCACGGCTCGTTCTCGGCTCTCATTTGATCACTTTCAGGAGGAAAAAAAAGTGGTAGCAAGAGGGAATCTTTTGAWATGAGAAGTGGTTACTAATGAGAGGAGATGTTGTCAAGCATTCAAATGTTTCAACCCCTTCATTTCATCTTTTGCATATTCAACAAACGGAACCAAGTGACAGTGATAATCAGACATGAAGAGCAACAATCAGGACGATAAAGGACAGATGAAAATAGGACGGAGAATTAACATTAAAGATGAGATTTCGTTTTTAAAGCTAGCTTTGTGAACTTTAACGTAATGTGTCACGCTGCATTTGAAGGCTGAGTAAATGACGTGTCCACTATGGGGTGCCGTTGGTAAAGTTACACAGTCAAAAATTACCACCAACATTTTTCTTTTATTTAGCCTTTTATAAGAAAAAAAACAGATTTATTTTTCAAAGTCAGTTTTTAGCCATTTGATTCATGCATTTATAAATGTCATAGTTTCTAAACTAAATATTTAACTTACAAATTAAATATTTAGTTAACAAGCTAAATATTTAACTTGTGACTTAAATATTTAGTTTTGA